CTAGATGTTCCATTGATTTATTAATATTTTTATTTCATAATTTATTTATTTAAAGGATTTTTAAATGCATTTTGTAAGTTCATTCTGTATTTGCAACAAGTTTTAATGTGGTAGGCTTTAGAGATTTAGTGAACAAAAACAGATACCGTTCCTAAAATATGATGTTACAGTCCTGTGGAGAAACCAGAAATTGACAAAATTATGAAACATAGTGTATAATAAGTGAATCAATTTTTATCCTTGGAACTTTTGTCTTCAGCATGATGTCTCCATGGGAAGTTACATTTCTGATCTTGGCCTTCATGTTTCTGAAAGCCCATAAACTTACTTATTATGTGTCCATAAGTAAAACACCTATAGAAGGCGAAAATGACCATGAGATGCTTCTCACTTGCAGAAGAAAGGTATGCATAAAATTTGTACCTGAAATTGTAGACCTGAATGCAGAAAGACAGAAATTGTCATATTTCTCTAAGATTGTGAAAGTATAGTAGGAGGACCAATCATCCTTTACAAATGATAGTTATACTAATAAGAAAAAAGTGCTCTGGAGCTTGTATACCTAGGAAGAGAGGACAAAGTAGATGGATATTTTATTAGTCAGCTTTCCAGTTCTATGACAACATACCTAAGACAGTCAACTTAAAAGAGGAAAGATTTATTTTGGTTCATGCTTTAAGAGGTTTTAGTCCATGGAAAGTTGACTCCATTCTCTTTAGTCCTGTGGTAAAGCAGAACCTCATGGCAAGGGGGTGTGTAGTGAAGAAAGCTTTTCATACATGATAGTTGCCAGAAAGTAAGGAGAAGGGGAGAGAAAGGTGATAGCATCCTATTATCCTTTACATGGGCATGCTCCAAATTCCCTCACTTCCTTCTAGTCCCCACGTTTTAAAAGTTCTACCATCTCCCAATAGTGTCACAGATGGCAATTAAGCCTTCAATATATGGTCTTTGGGGGACATTTTAAGATTCAAATCAAAGCAGACCTGATTGCTCGGCGTGATGGTACAGTTTTGTACTGCACAAAGCTAAGGGAGCCATTCATGACAAACTTAGATAGTGCATGGCATCTGTGAATCGAGTGACCCTGAATAGACTTCTATGCAAACTGCTACTCTGAACCTCTGAAACACCTAACCCTGTCTAAGATGTCACACTCTGCAGTGACTGCAGATTGTCCAAGATCCACTGATCTAACCATGCAGGACTGGTCAAAGAGCTGAACTTTCTATATAGTAACCAGTGAAGTTTCTTCCCTCTTGTCTTACAATTTTACATATTAGTGAACTTTATCAAATAGTGTTAGTGGCATTAATATTTAATTGACAAATTTGTCAGATAAACAGAGGACTGGACAAGCAAGCCTTTAAAGGTCCAAGAGCTATTTGTGTCACCATCCTAAATAAACCCTGGAAGGCAATGAGATATGTATATGAGAATTAACACAAAAAGATTTCATTTAGTCACAACCACCCTCTCTTACAATTTCTTGGGTTTGGCATTTTAAAGAAAACTTTAACATATCCATGGATCCAGTTGCAATAAAAACCCTTAAAATCTTCCATGATATTTAAATTTATATCAGCCAAGGACTGCTCTGATATATGGTGTATGCTAAATAGATACCTACATATGTCTTCAACAGCTAATAATTTTAGAGAAACTTAATAAAGACATTTAACTTCAGATAATGTACCATGATTACCAATGTGAATGAAAGCAGAGTGGGATTTCTTTGCATAAATCTCACTGACCTAAACCTCTTAACAGATAATAACTAGTCAAATCAATGACAATCTTTGAACTTTATATAGTTAAATTCAATGGTGCTAAAAGATGTCTTCTCAGAGGAAATTATTAAGGTTATAAGCTAATAATGCTGAGAAAATAGAGCAACTGACAGAAATTCTAACCTCCATAGTGCAGCTACAATGCTTTTAATCTTTGGCTCATAGATTCTATTCAAACTTTGACCAAGAGAGCCAGGACATTGTTTTTCTTGAATGTCTTTACTCAAAATACCTCTATTCACTTTCTTATTCATTTTGCAATTACTAATTTAGTACCTATGTTCCAAGTACTGTGCTGGGAAAAAGGGATAAAATGAGTAAGCAAATTCAAAGCAAGAATCTGAAAACTAAAATTTGCATGCTTTAGCATATAGTATCCTATCTATAAAGTTAAATAGGTGAGTAGCAATGGTCTTATGTTGTTGACAACTCAGAATATTCCAAGTCTGAGAGCAGAAGTAATAGGAGAAAAAAATATTTATAAAGGATTAAGAGAAAAGGTAAATCTAAAATGTGTTTCCCATAGGAGTCCCGAGGGCATGGGAAAAAGGAAAGACCTCTTATTTTACTAGGTATAATGATAAAATATAGAAATGATATTTTTAAAGAAATCAGTATTTTGACATTAAACCTAACATCCAGATGTACATTTTATTATTATTAAAAATTCACTGTTTTTGTTATAGGCAGCAAAAGTTCACAAATAGCAACACATTATTTACCACTTTCCTAGGTTTCATATATGTTGGAAACCACATAAATGTCTTTTTTTTAAAAGAGAGAGTGAGAGAGAGAGAGAATTTTAATATTTATTTTTTAGTTTTTGGCGGACACAACATCTTTGTTTGTATGTGATGCTGAGGATCGATCCCGGGTCGCACACATGCCAGGCGAGCGCGCTACCGCTTGAGCCACATCCCCAGCCCCACATAAATGTCTTTGTGTTTATGTATCAGAATCATGGAAAGGGCTGAGGGTATTTCTTTCTACCTTAATAATGGAAATTTATCCACTGAAACTTCTCTCTCTCTCTCTCTCTCTCTCTCTCTCTCTCTCTCTCTTTCTCTCCCTCTCTCTGTTGTTTGTTTGTGCATATGTGATTGGAATTGAACACAGAGACTTGTGCACACCTAGAACATGCTTTATCACTGATCTGTACCCTCAGCCTTACTGATAATTCTTAGTGCTACATTCCATTCTCAAAGTCCAGTCCCTACTCATCAATCTATTCAAGGAGTGCTAAGACAGATAAAATCCAGGCTAAAATTTATGGACTATAATGTTAATGAAGCAGCTTTCAGTGGAAAAAGCAAATAATTTTAAGTCCTTATATCTATGAAGTAAAATTATTTTCCACGATGATGACTCTTGTCTCTTTTCTGCTTCCATTTTCGAATTTCTATTTCTCGAAATTCTACATAGATATTAGAAAAACATAAAATAATGTTTTTATGGTAGGGTGAGTAACTCAAGAACTATTTTGTTTGGGCTCATTTTTCTAATTTTCTCTTTAGGGACATTCAAATTGCACAATATATATATATATATATTATGTCACAAAGACTAACATGAACTAGGCAAAAGGAATCTTTCTGACTTAGAAATGTTCACAAAGATCAGACATTTCATACATATTTGAGGACAGTGATAAATTTTCAGAGAGCCTAATTACTTTTTTTTCAGAGATATAAAGTGAGAATTTTCATTAGACCTTATAAAGACATGATTTGGGGCATGACATTCACTTAACATTCATGATAATACTGTCCCTGCATTTTTTTCTGATATTTGTATGATATGAGCACCTGTTTCTTCAGACAAACTATACTTGAGTCATGGAGATGCATTGGTGAACAGAAGTAGAGATAATGTCTCTATTCCTATGTAATTTATATTCTACTGGGACATTATTGAAAATATTTAGATCTTCATTGATTAGAAAATGACATATAGGAGGAGAAAAACAAAAGAATATATGCTTTTCTTCCTTGTGTTTGCATTTTCCAGCTCAAAATTAATAGATAAAAACATGGTCTCTAATATGGGGAACAATTTTACTATAGTTATTTTTCTTAGATTTTGTTCACCCAGGGGAATCATGAGCATAATAATAAACTCATTTAATAAAGATGTCTGATAGAATAGAGATGTAGCCATCATGACTGCAAGGACTCATCATGCTGCATAATTGCTGAAAGAAACTGCTAAGGACCTTGGAGAACATGTTTTCTGTCACAGCGAAAAGTGACTCAGATGAATTGGAAAGGTGTTTGACTCATGATCCATGATGTATAAATATCGCCAGACTATCTCTTTGTGTGACTGGCAGCATTAGCTAATGAAACTTGACCCATTAGAGCAACTGTCTTCATATGCAAGAGAGAACTTGTTTAACTTTGGCATTTCCAATGAGTTTTGCACTAATTATTCAATATCCATATAATTACATACTCCATAATTGATTCCGACAAAACATTCACACAGGTGCAGAGAGAACATTGTCTTCTGAAACTTCAAAACTCATTAGACTCATCTTCCAAAAGAAAAAAAAAAAAGGCTTTCTGCAATCAAATTACCTATTTCAATGAAATGGCAATGTCATCTTGACCAAGCCAGACTCCAAGAAAAACTAGACTAATGCAAATCAAATTTTTTTGAATTTGTTTTAAATTGAAAATACACCAGAGGGGAATTTATTTGACATTTTTACATGATCTGAATATCACTGAACTAGTTTATGTATGCAGTCTTATACATGTTATATAAAAATGCATGTAGTGACTTCCCAGCCAGAGTGAAGAATATGCTATTCAGTTTTATTTGTTTATTTTCCTTAGCCATGCTGAGTACTGAGTTCAAAGGTGGAGAGTGAGGACTCTGCTATGTGTGCTTGTGTTTCAGGAAAGCTTGAGCAGAGTGTAAATCAAATAACAAGTTTTTGAGAAAGCAGGGTGAGACCATTGGACATACTATCGGATTTTAAAGAAAGTCAGGTAAGACTTTCAAAGGAGAAAATTTTTCCAGAAATTATGACATGCATGAGATGTGTGAAATTAAGCAAATTTCTAAAAATAACTCTTGTTCCCATTCTTACATGTGGAATTTTAGAGGGCAGGATGAGATGTTTTTTATAGACTGCCATAAGCCTATGCCACATTACCATTCTGTGAATGAATCATATCAAATGTATCAATAAAAAATGCTTCAATATAATATTGTGAAAACTATATTTGATCTTAGTCCAGTTTCTTGGTATACAACTCCTAAAATCCTTGAAATTTTCAATGTGACAAATGTCTTTTTGTATGCTCATGAGTTGATTGATAGCTGGTGGTCCCAAGGTAGCTTCAGGATTGAACCTAGGCATGAGAGAAACCAAGTCAGGATTGGAGGGTTGAATCACCAATGGTCAATAATTTAATGAGCAATGCCTACATATTGAAGCCGCCATAAAAACCCAAAAGGACAGGGTCCAATGAGCTTCTGGATAGTCAAACATGTGAAGGTTCTTGGAGGCTGGGGTGCAAGAAGAGGGCATGGAAGCTCTCTCTGCTTTGCCACATGCCTTGCCTTAAGCATGTTTTTATCTGTATGCTTTGTAATTTCTTTTACAATAAACCAATAAACATAAGTAGATATTTTCCTGAGTTTTATGAGCCATTTTAACAAATTAATCATGTCTGAGGGTGGTGCTATAGGAACCCTCATGAATAACCAGTGGGTCAGAAGCACAAGAAAACAACCTAAGGTGTCTGAAGGGGAAATGCAGTCTTAATAACTGAGTCCTCAACCCATAGGTTCAATGTTATCTCCAAATAAGGAATGCCATAACTGAACTGATTTAGAGGGCGCTTAGCTGGTGGCCACAGCTGCAGAATTTCTTGCTTCATATAGAATGAGTCTCACATACCTGGTGTCAAAAACATGATGTGAGAACATTGTAGGAGAAATACAGTTTTTTTTTTTTTTTGTATTCATCTAGTCACCTTAGTGACTGAATGTCAATTTGGAGATTGTACATAGTGTGTTACTTAAGGAAATAAGAGATAAGAATATTAGTCAGAAAAATAAAGCAAAATAAATATTTTCAGAAAAAAATTAGTAAATAGAAAAAAAGGAAAAAGATAACCAAATCTATAAATAATAGATCCATAAAATACAGTTTTTCATATATTAGCAAAATCAAATTGCAAATATGATTAAAATTATAATTTTTTTCTTTTAAACAGTATGCACAATAAAAAAATATTCTAACTATGCAAATCTTTATCAAGAAAGTTATATAAAACATTGCAGAAGAGTGTAAAAGACCAAAGTAAATATGAGGGCATTTATTCTTTCTGTGAGGAAATCTAATACTATAAAGATATTGATTCTCTTGAGAATAATCCCTGCATTTAATTCAACTTAATGTAAATCTAATCAAAATCCAAGGACATTTCAATATGAATAATACATTGAGATGAACCATGACAAAAACAAAATGTACTGTAGTCCTACAGTAATTAAATGGTGGAGTACTAGCCCAGGAAAAATACTAAGTTCAAGGAAATAGAATATATTCCAAAAATAAGCCTTCAGTCAATAGCCAAAATTCTAAAAATTCAATTCTGACAATCTTTGCAGGAATTCTCATTGCTTTTATGGAAGACACAAGTTCTGATAATCTTAATTCCACCATTTTCATGAACATAACTTCTTCAATGCAGTTTTAAATTGGTCTATTAATGTGCTTGGTATTGACAGAAATCAACTGAGTGATTATTTGGAAATGTTAAATTGTACTCGAATATATTATAAAATGTACTTGAATATTTAGTTAGATATATTTTGTATTGATTATATAAACTGTATAGTTTTTACATTTCAATTAAGACTTTTCTTGCTTGATGTTATTACAAAATATTCATAAACATATCCATCTACCTTATGTTATTACAAAATATTCATAAACATATCCATCTACCTTAAATTGTTTCTTTAAAGGCTTAAGATGATATTGGATATGAAACTCCATGGAAAATCTGCATGGGCTCTAAAATGAAAGTTTTCAAATTCTTTTATATGGTATACAACTATTAAATATCAAGAGGCACTTTTCTATAAAGAAGTAACATAACTCATAAATCTCAATTAAAATTAGTTTCACCTCACCTCTGTTTTGATGGCAGCCATTTAAAATGAGAGACGATATATATCTGAAGGAGAAAAGTAGAAAATGGAAGGGGAAATCTGATCTATGCCGCAGTCCGGCTGCAGCAAAATAATCAGGGGGGGTGACGAATAACTTGTGTACATTGATACAGCAGGAGTGGGAGCCGTTTATTCCAGGACAGGAGCAGTATTTATACATTCCACACAGCTTATCTAATTAGCATAAACTAGATACATCAGTCAACCAATAAGGAATCTCCACACTTAATGGCTCGCTTTTGTTACTTCTCAAACCACTCCCTCTGGCATTTTGCCAGGCACCATCCAGACTTGTTTATGAACTCTAACATTCCCCTGGCAAAATGCCAGGTGTTATTTTGACTTGTTTACAGACTCTAACAGATCTATATTAAATTTTCAAATTTTTATGGTCACCTAAAATATTTACTACTTAATACCATACAAATAATTATATCAAGGATTTTTGGCATTTTGCATATTCTGATGTTTCAGGACAGCATAATGCAAGATAAAGAGAGCACCACCCTTTGAAAGTACCTAAATATAACTTCTGCATAAAATATTACAAATATGGTATCATGATCTAATTACTACCTTTTTTGGCAAAATTTTAACATTACTTTATGAAAAAAAATTACCAGAATTTTTATTACTTTTTCTGTCACAAAAATAATCTAAGAAAGTCTGAAACAGCAATTCTACAATTACACTCACCAAAAATAATAAAATGATCACAATCTCTCTAAAGACATCATTAAAAGCTTAGTGAGAAAATTTTAAAGTCTGTAATCACACATATAATAATATATTTATATGTAAAATAATGGCAAATCAGATACTGATCATCTATTGATGTTGGCCAGTTTAATAATCTATAAGAATTACTGAATACAATATCAATGTAGATCAAAAATATGGAAATAAAATGAGTGACTTATGGGAATTATTACAGCTTCTATTCATTTTAATAAAATTGAAATCAGGGGTGGAGCCAAATAAAGCAGAGTAAAACTTTCCAGCAATTTTCTCTCCACAGAGACATAAATTTGAACAGCTATTCATGCACCAATCTCTCCTCATAAGTATTAAAAGAAGTCATGCTGGAGATTGCAGTATCTGCTTTCAGTAAAATAATCAGAAAATACACATTTAAGAATGCTGAGTTACCTGTGTTACCCTTCCCCCAGTCCCAAGCACTACAGTATGGAAAGATGGCTTCCCATTAGGGGAAGGAAAGAGAATGAAAGTCCTAAGCCTTAGACTTGAAGCCAGGTTTGAAAATTTTTCTTGAAATCTCATATTAGCCCTGCTGTGGTGAAACCCCATAGTGGACACAGCTCCATGGCCCACGTCTCAAATCAGTACTTACAGACTGATCCTCTGGATCTGTTTAGCCATGTAGCAAAGGACTGCCTCCACCATCACTCCTCAACCTCTGGCAGCACAGTACAGGTCAAAACCACCTGCTGGGCATATGGAAATAAAATGAGCATGAAAATGAGCATAGTACTTAACCTTAAAACTGAGGGGCAGAATAGAGAAACCTATACTGAAGAATTATTAATGGTCACTCTCTCCAGGCCAGTACCCATAAATAGACCCTTCATATCTGCCTTCACATACCAAACAATTGTGTTTTTATTTTAGACAGTATCACTTGTGCCTATTTACAACAATCTCATGCTGTGAGTTTACCTTAGGCTCATGCTTGGGTCTTGGTCCTTTTCTAGTACTGCACTGAACAGGCCTTCTCAAGTTATGGCTTCCAAGTGTGACTCAGGATTGCAACACTGAAGGCCAGGAGACTTCGCATCCAACCTAAGGCAGCACAAGATGGAAAGAATAATTGTCTGCTTGAGATAAGGAAAAGTAGGGACATGATAAGTTGTTGACCAAGAGCTTGGGGCCACTCCAACCATAGTGAGGCCCAGAGATAAACAGAATCTCTGGTACCTGACCATGGGCTGGTAACTCTGAATGAGGTATCTGGGCCTAACCTGACATTGAGGATAAGCTTTTGGGGAAAAATTACTCTTTTGTAGATACAGTGTATTCTGAATAACATATCAGTTATAAATTTGGGACGAACTTAGGCTAGGGGCATGCTTTAGTGCAAAAAAAAAAAAAAAAAAAAGCACTTAGCAACAGACTTGTGGCAAATATGGATTTAGGGAGCCATCTACTTTTTAAATAGCAAAAAAGTCCATAGGATAAGAGTGCATAAACAACCTACCTGAATTTCTGGGATAGGTACAAAAAAAAGCCAGATTAGAAAGACTGGAATAAATACCTAGTCACTCAATGCCTAAATAATATTGAATATCACAGCAACAAGAACTTAAGGGAACCACAAACTTGCTTAATACATAAAATAAGAATTCAGAAGATAACTAAATGGCAAAGGATATGGGTGAACTCTCAGAAGGAGAATTCAAAACAGCTGTTTTAAGGAAACATGATAAACTTTAAGAAAACACAAAGAAACATTTTAGTATTCTGTCAGAGAAGCTTCCCGGGAAGAAATAAAAAATAATGTTCATGAAGTGAAAATTAAAAGATGATAGAAGGAATTTATAACATAATAGACCAAGCAGAAGAGAGAATTGGTAAACTTGAAGACAAGCTATTTCAAAGTACAAAATTATAAGAGAAAAAATTAAAGTGTGAAGGGGAATGAAAAAAAATTGCAAGAATGTTAGAACATCATTAAAGGAGCAAATATTAGCTTATTGGGGCTCAAAAGGGGTTTCAGAATGCCAAATAGGTAGAGAGTTTATTTGAAGAGACAATAAAAGAAATTTCCTAAACCTGGAGAAGAATGAAGATGTCCATGTACATAAAAGTGATATTGCCAATTATTTGACAAAATCATGCCTAGCCCAAGCATATTATAATTAACTTTTAAAATGTTAAAGAAAAGGTCCTCAAAACAGCAAGGAAAAAAACCGTCAAATAACTTACGTAGGTTTCCCAATCCACCTCATAGTAGACTCACAGGTCATGAGGAAGTACTGAATAAAAAACAAAAACCTTGTAAATAAAGAATACTTTACCCAGAAGTGGTACCCTTTAGTAATGAAAGAAAGATAAAGATAATTCTAGAAAAACAAAAGTTAAAAAGCTGGGAGTATTTATTTACCCAGAAAAGATACTCTTTAGTAATGAAGAAAAGATAAACATTCTGAGAAAAACAAAAGTTGAGAGAATTTGTCACTCCCAGATGTGTCCTACCAGAAATGCAAAGGGAAGAATTTCAAACTGAAAGGAAGAGATGCTAATGAATAAGGAAAAGTCATCACAAGCTATAAAATTCACTGTTCAGAACACACAGACAAATCCAGAAGGCTCTAATATTATAAGTATGGTACATAAACCATTAACGTCTTTAGTATGAACACTAAAAATTGAAACATTTAACAATGATAACAATTATATCAATATATTAGGAGAAGTATTGAAAATGTGAAGTGAGACACAAAATAATTCAAAATGTAGGGAGGAACTCAGTGCAACTATAACATTTTTATCAGAACTTTTTCTCATTAATTTTTTTATCTGTATGATAAATGTCAAATTACCATCAATTCAAAATATGTAATTATAATCAAAAGATGGTTTCATAAACTTCATGATAACCACACCAAATTATTATAATGACAATCAAAAATAATAAGCATGGATTAAAACACACTACTAGGCTAAATTAATCACAAAGGAAAGCTGTAAGAGAGGGAGAAAGAAACTGCTACAAAACTAGGGAAAAATCATAAAATGTTTATAGTTAGAGCTCATCTGTTAATAATTAACAGAAAGGTATTGGATTAAATTCTCCAATTTAGTCTCCAAAGACCGACTAACTAAAACAAAAATAAATGAATGAATAAGAGCATCTAAAGGCTGACTACAAGAAAATCACCTCAACACTAAGGTCACACATAGACTGAAAATGAAGAGAAGGAATACGATGCTCTATATAAATGGAATCCAAAAGAGAGAAGAATCAGGCTTAATTATATCAGATAAAATACACTTTACATCAAAAGACATGAAAGAAGACAGGAAAGTCATTACAGGGTGATACGGGGGTCAATTCAGTAGGAGAAAATAACTATAAATATGTTTGCACTCAAGAGTGAAGCACCCAAATATATAAAGCAAATATTAATAGACCTAAAGGGAGAGCTAACCTTCAGTGCAATAACAGTAAGAAATTTTAACACCCTCCTCTCAGCAAAGGACAGATGGAAAATTAACAAAGAAAGCACAGAATTAAAATTCACCCTAGACTAAAGGTACCCAACAGACATCTACAGATCATTCCCTTGAACAGCTGCCGAATACAGATTTTTCTCAATAGTACATAGAATATTCTCCAAGGAAGATCATACATTAGACCACCAAAAAAGTCTCAACAAATTGTCTGAAAATGGAAATTATATTGAGTATTTTTTTTCTGACCAAAATGAAATGATACTAAAAATCAATTCCAAGAACAACTAGAAATCCCCAAGTATATGGAAATAAAACTGTTTATATCTGTAATCAATAGATAGAAAAAAGGAATTAAGAACATTTAAAAAGAATTTTGGAAACAAATACAAAAAGAAATGTATTGTTCTAGTACCTATGAGACATAGCATAAGAGTACCAACAGGGAAGTTTATTGAAATGAATGCTGACTTTAAAAAAGGGCAAAGATTGTAAATGAAAGAACCCATTCCTATATGTCAAGGATCTAGTAAAACAAGAAAAACCCAAAATTAACAAGGAGAAAGAAATAGTGAATATCAGAGCACAAATAAGTGAAGTAGAAATGAAAAGCAATAAAAATATCAACAAAATTCAAACTGGTTTTTGCCAAAGATAAAGAAATAATCATACTTTTAGCTAAACTAAGAAAGAAAACAACAACAAAATTGGAGATAAATGGAGATTATATCTGATTAAGCAGAAATATAAATAATACTAGAGATTATTATGAACAACCACAAAATAACCAAATTGATTACTTAGAAAAAATGGACAAATTCCTGAAAACACATACATTCTTAAGACTGACTTATAAAGAAATCAAAGACCAATTAGTAATGACATTGATTCAGTAATAAAAGTATTTTATTAAAGAAAAGCCCATGGCCAGATGGCTTCACTGCTGAGTTCTACAGACATTTAAAGTAGAAATAATATCAATCCTAGTTGATTATGCCAAAAATTGAAGAAGAAGAGATCTTCCAATCATATTTCCAAGGTCAGCATTACCATTGTACCAAAGACAAAGACACAAAAATAAAAGAAGCCACAGGATAACATTATTGATGAACATGGATGCAACAATCCTAAAAAATTAATTAATTAATTAATTAATTACAACAGGATAATAAGATCATTTACCATAATGAAGTAGGATTCATTCCAAGAATGTAAAGAAGGTTCAACATGTGCAAGTCAGCTAACACCTTATACTAAATAAAAAAAATAATAATAATAAAGAGGGAAAATGTGATCATTTTAGTTTTGTTCTCATGCAAACAAAACAAATAAATGAACAAGAAAACACATCTAAAATTGTCCTTAGAATTTTTTTGAATAAGATTCCAAAATCCCAGGAAACAAAACCAAAAATAGATAAATACGATTGCTTCTTAATAGCAAAGAAAACAATGAGCACGGTAAGATGACCATCTATAGAATGGGAAAAAAACATTTGCAAATTACACATTTTGATGATAGTTATTAACCACAATGTATAAGATACTTAAATCAATAGCAAATGCCAATAATAACAATAATTTGAATAGTAAATGAGAAATTTCTCTATATTGCTATTTCTCAAAAGAAGACTTACATATAAATGGCCCATGAGAAATATTCAACATCACCATTCATCAGAGAAATGCCAATCAAAAATTCAATGAGGAATTATCTCACTTCCGTAAGCAAAAGTATTAACAAAAAAAGACAAAGAAATATAAAAGCTGATAAACATATGAAGAAAAGAGAATCTTTACAAACTGTTTGTGGGATTATATATTGGTACAGCCATGGTTGAAAACTATATACAGCTTCCTTAAAAACTAAAATTAGAACTCTCATATGAACCAATCTTGTGTATAGATAGAGAGAAATTGAAATCTCCTGAAAAGACCTGTGCGCTCATGTTTATTGCAATACTTTTCACAAAAGCTAAGAAATAGAAACAACATAACTGTCCATCAAGTGATGAATGAATAATGAAAATGTGATAAACATCCACAATAATTCTATTTGACCATAAAAAGGATGAAATCCTGTTATTTGCAATAGTGTGGATGGAAGTGGAAGTCATTATATTAACTGAAACAAGATAGGCATAGGGAAACAAGTACACATGATCTCACTTTCATGGTACCTAAAAAGAGATGATCTAGAAGTAGAGATTTGAATTGTAGTTACCAGAGTACAGGGAGAATGGGAGGGGGAGGGATATGGGGAAAAAATGATCAATGGCCACTGACTTAAAATTAGATAACAGCATTAATTTTTTATTCTATTGCACAGCAGGTTGACTACAAATAGTAATAGTATACTATATGTCTCAACAAAGCTAAAGGGAAACATGCTGAATAGTGTCATTATAAGGGAATGATAAATAAGGAGATAGGTCTATTTTGCTAGATTTGTGCATTATACAATACATGCATGAATTGAAATATCACCTGTTACCCAATACATATGTTCAACTTTTATATGTCAGTTAAACTAACAAGTAAAACAAAATATGATAATTTTAAACTTAAACAAAAAATCCATAAAGT